CAGTGGGTCAGCCAAAGAATGGTTTGTCCCTGATATCCTCGACCCGGATCTCGACTCGCTGCCAGCCTGGACGTCCTCCTTCAAAGCCCTTGTAAAGGAGCTACAGGACAATTTCGGCATTTACGACGTGCAAGGCGAGGCCGAAGATTCTCTCGGTAATCTGAAGATGAAGGAAACCGAGAACATCCGGAAATACAACATCCGGTTCAACACCCTGGCTGCTAGTACCAACTGGGATTCTGCTGCCCTGAAATGGGCTTATGGACAAGGTTTAGCTGAATGCATCAAGGACGAAATGGCGCATTTGCCCGAACTGGCAACACTCGCCGATTATTGTCAAGAAGTTCTTCGCATTGACAATCGTTATTGGAAGCGCGAAGAAACTAGAAAGCGTGAGGCTGGTAAGCCTTTTATTGCTCAGAACCCGAAGAAGGGTTCCTCGGACTTTAAGACTGGTTCTACTAACCAGCAACACAACTCTCAGCCATCTGGCTCTTCGGCGCCGTTCACGCCGAAGTCTAAACCCTTCTCTGGTGGTAAGTCTAACAACAATGGTAAGCCCCAGAACTCTTCGAATTCCGGCCAACCTGGCGGTCAGCGCCCCGTGTTCAACCATCTTGGTGCAGATGGGAAAGTCCTTCCCTCCGAGAGGGAAAGAAGGATGAAGAACAACCTTTGTCTCTTCTGCGGTGGTAAGCATCAGATTGCTGACTGCAATAAGTGAAAGGCCTGAGAGTCGAAGGGCCGTGCTGCTGAGGTTGAAGAAACCCCCGAAGCAACCATTGAGGTTGTTGAAGAGGAATCGGAAAACTAGTCTGCAGCTCTTGTTCCACGGTACGAAACGGGAGCTGCGTTGATCAGGTTCGTACCTCACCTGGGGAGTTATATCTCAATGCGTCCGCTCTTTCTTCCATTGAACGATCTCTTGTAATATCATTAACTACTGAATTTCTGTTATCCGATTCGGCCGCACCGGCTGAACCTATTTCTGCTCTTCTCAAATTTCCTACTCTTGTTGATTCTGGTTCTACTGACTCTTTCATCAATACTTGTTATGTTTCTCAAAATTCCATTCCTACGACCAAAATCTCTCCTGTTAATCTTTGTCTTTTTGATGGTTCATTATCTTCTAAACCAATTACCGATATGGTGAATATCGCTGTCCGGTTCCCTTCTGGCGAGCTGCTTCTATTGCCCTTTTATGTTACTCATTTAGATTCATCTTGTAAAGCAGTATTAGGTTACAGTTTCTTACCCCGCTACAATCTGTTGATTGACTGGGCATCTTGAAACATTATGTTCCGTAACACTTCACACTTTGATTCTCCACAGATGTCTGTGCCTTCTGCCACCAACACTGAAGGTCGCTGTTCCATTACTGGAACCTTCGCCGCCGGTTTTACCGACAATTCTGGAACCCCCTCCTGGGGATTCACCTCACTCTCGCTCCCGCTCTCGGATGTTACGGGCCAAGCCCCTCTTGTCTAAATTCCCCTTTGAACCCATCTATTCTTATCCTATGGTCTCTCAATTCGCTGCTCAACTGGAAACTCCTGAGGTCGACATTGCACTCGTCAGTGCTGCAGTCTTTAACAGGGCTTGCAAGGACGCTGGTATGGAACCCATTCTCCTTCGTGCTATCCACTCTGAGGTCGTGGCCCGCGCCGCCGACCGCTCTTCCACCGCTCCTACTGTCCCTCCACTTCCTCATTCTATCCCAGCAGAGTATGCTGAGTTTGCAGACGTCTTTGATGAGATTGCTGCAGATGCACTTCCTGAACACAGCCCTTACAACCTGAAGATTGACTTGGAAGAAGGCGCTTCGCCGCCTCTCGGTCGAATTTATCCTTTGTCTGAAAAGGAGTTAGTCACCCTTAAAGACTTTATTGACAAACAGCTGGCCACTGGTGCCATCACCCCATCTTCCTCACCTCACGGCGCCCCGGTACTCTTTGTTCCCAAGAAGGATGGGAAACTTCGGCTTTGCGTGGACTTCCACGGTCTCAACCGTATCACCAAGAAGGACCACTATCCACTGCCGTTGATCTCAGACCTCCTTGACGCTCCGAAACGAGCCAAAATCTACACCAAATTGGACCTCGCTCACACTTATCATCTAGTCAGAATAGCAGAAGGTGATGAATGGAAAACCACCTTTCAGACCCGCTACGGCTCTTACGAATGGAAGGTTATGCCGTTCAGCCTTACAAACGCACCTGCTGCTTTCCAACGTTTTGTTAATGACATTTTCTCTGACATGCTAGATGTTTGTGTCATCGTCTATCTTGACGACACCCTGACCCACCCCGACACGCCGGAGGAACACCGAGAACACGTCAAGGAAGTTCTTCGGCGCTTACGGAAACATCGGCTTTACGCCAATCCTGACAAATGTGAGTTCAATATGGATACTGTTGAGTACTTAGGTTACATTCTTTCTCCTGACGGATTGACCATGTCCAAAGAGAAAGTACAGACCATTCTGGAATGGCCTGTTCCTAGGAAGGTTAAGGACATTCAGTCCTTTTTGGGTTTTGCAAACTTCTATCGTTGTTTTATTTATAATTATAGCAATATCATTGTGCTGATGACTTGGCTTACCCGGAAGGGCACCCTCTGGATCTGGGACAATGACTGTCAAGAGGCTGTTGAAAACCTCAAAATTGCTTTCACTTCTGCGCCTATTCTCGCTCACTGGGAACCTAGTTGTCCTTTTATCATGGAAACCGACGCTTCCGACTATGCCATTGCGGTGATTCTCTCCATTCAGACTGTTGACAGTGAAATTCATCCTCTAGCCTTCCTTTCCAGAACTCTTCACACTGCGGAGCTCAACTACGACACTCATGACAAAGAGCTCCTTGCCATCTTCGAAGCCTTCAAAGCTTGGCATGATTATCTGGAAGGTTCCGGCGATCCGGTGGACGTCATCACCGATCACAAAAATCTTGAGTATCTCTCTACTAGCAAGATTCTCACCCGTCAACAGGTCCGTTGGTCAGAGTATCTCCACCAATTCAACATGGTAATTCGCTTCCAACCGGGAAAGCTCAGCGAAAAACCCGATTAGATAACTAGACACTGGGATGTCTATCCCAAAGAGGGGGATATCGGCTACGCGCAAGTCAACCCTCACAACTTCCGACCTATCTTCACTAATGAGCAACTGACCTCATCTCTTCGAGCTACCTTCTTAGAAGGCCCGATACTCCGAGCCTCCATCATTATGGATATCAAAGCCCTACATCAAGCTATCATTCTCGCTCTTCGAAAGGACCCAAGCTCCGTCGTTGGCTTGGAACTTGCTAAAGATCCTTCCAATGAACGTTGGAGCTTAGGCAGTGATGGGTTATTACGCCTTGATGACCGTATTCATGTACCGAATCACGGCGATCTTCGCCTTCAAGTTCTCCGCTACTTTCACGATCATCCACTCTCAGGCCATTTTGGCCAGAACTGAACTCTAGAGGCAGTACATTGTCAATACACCTGGCCCAAGGTCAGAGACTTCGTCCGTGACTATGTCTCCTCCTGCACTACTTGCGGTTGCAATAAGCCTCGGCCTTACGGCTTGTTGAAACCTCTGCCGGTTCCAGTCCGGCCATGGGATTCTATCTCCATGGACTTCATTGAGCAACTGCCAACTTCGAATGGTTATACAGCTACACTAGTCATTGTGGACCAATCTTCCAAGCAAGCTATCTTCATTCCAACTTTTGATACTATCACTTTTGAACAACTGGCTGAGCTTTTTGTTATTCATGTTTTCTCTAAGCATGGTGTTCCTAATCATGTTACTTCTGATCGTGGTTCCGAATTTGTTTCGGCGTTCTCCCAGGCTCTCGGTAAAGCGCTCTCCATGGAACTACACTATACCTCTGGATATCATCCGGAAGCCGTTGGGCAGACCGAGCGTGTGAACCAGACTCTCAAGCAGTACATCAGGATCTATTGCTCCTACCAACAAGATGACTGGTCACATTTACCTCTGATCGCCCAGTTCGCCTATAACAATGCTCCCAATGCTTCCATTCTTCGCTAACAAAGGATACCATCCCAACATCACCGTTCGGCCCGAGGTTGACATGAAGTCTGATCTAGCCAGAGACTTCGTCGTTAACCTTGATGAACTCCACGCCTTCCTTCGAGAGGAAATCCTTCTAGCTCAATCTTATTACAAGGAACAAGCTGACAGGAAAAGAATCTCGCATCCGGAGTTCCCGATCGGCTCCGAAGTATTTGTTCTTGCTAAGCACATTCGATCTACTCATCCTACTGAAAAATTCTCTGAAAAATATCTTGGTCCTTTCAAGGTCATCAGTCGACCTGGTACTTTGTCTTATGAGCTCAAGCTCCCGGACTATCTTCGCTGGATTCACCTGGTCTTCCATGTCTCACAGCTGGAGCCGGTTATGCCAAACCCTTTCCCGAATCATACTCAATCTCCTCCACCTCCAATTGAAGTTGATGGTGAAGAGGAGTACAACGTTGCCGAAATCCTTGACTCCAAGCTGGACAGAAGGTATAAATGTTGTCCTCTATGTTATTACATTCGGTGGGCCGGTTACGAAGGTACCGATGATGAATTCTCTTGGGTTGCTGCTGATGAACTACATGCTGACGAACTGGTACCTGCATTCCATGCCCGATACCCTTTAAAACCTGGACCTTGATCACAAAAAACATTTTATTCCTTCCACTGAAAATTCCATTCTCTGCCGAAGTTCACTTCGCTGCGTCGAGAGGGTAAACACGATGATAGCAAATTGAGTGTTTATCCCTCTCTCTTATTTGCTTATTTGTTCTCCAATTACCGCTTCACTTAATTCTTATTCACACTTAAGCTACTTATACTTCAAACTAAATATTTCTTCCGCCTCTTCGGGGCCCATTCGCTTTCCAATTTCAATACGTGATAACATTTTTTATGTACAAAAAACAAGAAGGCAAGAAAATTACAAAAAGTGGCCGAAGGCCGAAGTCCGATGTCCGCTATACTATTACTCTACCACCTCCTTTTCCTTTCCCTTCTCAGAGGTTGCCGCCTTTGCCCTATTTGGCGCCGGCGCCTCCTCCTCTCCTTCCTCCACTTCTTCCCTGTCCTTCTCCATTTCCCCTTCAATCTCCCTCTCCTCTTCCTCATCACTGTCCACAACCCTGCGCCTGTGGAGACCGGGGTCGGAATGGGTCTTATGGTAGGGATTGGTATATGAGGGTTTATGTTGTAGCGTGCTAGGAGCAGGCTGGAGCTCGAAGGGAGCTACAGGAACCGTGACCGAGGACGGGAATGACCTAGTAGTGGCTGGAACAATGAGATGGTGACCCTTGAGGGGGTTCCCAGGAGGTCCAGGGAGGTTAGGTAAGAGTGCGGGACCGTATGATATTGCGTAGTAGGAGTTGTACTCGCTAGAACGTCAATATAGGATCGAGTAGGTCGTAGATGTAAATGGGTCTTGAGGGTATAAGCTCCCGGGAAGGTATATGCCCGGGAGGGTAGGTCCCTGGGGACTGGGCTTGAGGATGGATGTCCTCGAGTGTTGGAGGTGGTAATGGAGAAGTGACACGTAGTTCGACGTGAGGGGTAGCTTCGACGTTACTTAGATCGAGGTCCCGAAGCTTACGAAGTAGCTAGGGAGCTCTGGGAGGTTTGGGGAAGGGTAGCTCACCAAAGCGTTTAGGCGTTGGGGAGCTTGAGTAATGTTCGAGGGAGCTCAGAGACTCACTCGGATGGCTTAGACTTGAAGTAAAAGCATATATTCGATCATATAGACGATCAGAGAGACAGTAGACGAGAGTAAAGAGAAACAGAGGTAGAGAAACAGAGAGTAAAGAGAAATCTGTATGGTTAGCAGGTACAAAGGGACAGGGACTGGACCTATGCAAAAGGGTGTGTGTTCAAAATATACCAAGCTGGGGCTTGGGGGCATTGCAGAGCTACTTAAATAGGTATGGGAAGTGAACAAGGGAACATCAGAATCTAGGGAACATGAGGCAGATAATCGAGAGAGGCAGGTGATCGAGATTGGTACTTAATGGAGCTTGTCATAAAGTACGCAGCCCCTATCATTTTCCTTTTCTCACCGTCTCGACGCCTTTACTTGTACGATACATCATCCCATCACTGTCAAACCCCCATCGATTACTGATCCACCTGACCCATCTTCTCCTTCTACTGGCTTCCGCCACCTTCCTTGTTCCTAAACTGTACAGTATTACATCGTTGTTTCTCGCAGACCGGATTATGTATATATAGCCAACCCTCCACAGCCTGGTCCCTTATCTTGACCTCTCTGTCATTATCTGGGACCAGGTATGTGCTTACTTACTACTACCTATGACTAAGATACTCAATATATCTCTGTCATTATCTGGGACCAGTTCGCCTCTGCTCCGCTTAGTCACTCTGCCTCACTGACCTGCTTAGTCGCTCCGCCTCACTGCCTAGCTTAGTCACCCCGCTTCCTGCTCCGATAGTCACTCCGCCTCTGCCGCTTCGTGACAGAGCTGGTGTAGGAGGGTTTCGTACACGTGTCGGGATGGTTGTCAGGACGTTTGGTACTGTCTAGGGGAGGTGCGTACTGCCTCAGGGATGTCTTGGGGAGGTGGAAGGAGAGTCGGGAATGTGAGAACATGTGGGCTGGTGCTGGGGTTGGTTTGGTTGCGGTCAGGGCATGACATTACCCCCCCTTGAAACCCCTTCGCGCCCTCGCAATGGGTAGTCGTGTTTCCTGGAAGGTCACCTGACATTTACCTGAGATTTTCTTCGCCCTACAACGTTCGCAGGGTTCCTTCTCGTCGTCATCGTTGTCGCCGTCATCGCCGTCATCTGGGTCTTCATCAACAGGCTAAGTAGCAAGGAGTCAGACAATTACCTAGTTATAGTGATAGGTAAACGCACCTGGGCCTTAGCCTTGCCTTTTCCTTTGCTCTTCTTCAAAATTTCGACCACCGGTCTCTGCGGCAAAACCGACACCTCACTTGGAGAGGTCCTTCTCTGACTCCGAGCTGTCGCCGCCGCGGCCAACAGCCTCCTTCTCTCAGACACCTCCTCCTCCTGTTGTTGTGCTCGACGGGCCCGCTCTCGCGCCTCCTGCGCCGCCTTCTCTCTAGCTGCTGCTGCTCTGGCAGCCTTTTCTTCTGCGGCCTTCCTCGCCCTCACCCTCTCCACGCGTGCCTGCGCCCTCTGGATTATCTCGTCCTCATCTTCATCCTCATCCTCCAGACCTTCCTCCTCATGGACGGAGGTGGGACAGGCCGCGACCTCAAAGGTCCGGCGGTCGAAGAATTGGTCGTGGTGGTGATAGTTCAGCTAGCAGACATTGTCGACTTAGAAGTTTTGGGGAACTTAGGCCCTTAGCGGCAAAACTCTGGGCCTTTTATAGGGCAAAACTGCGCACAGACCAGTGAAAATTTTCCTTCAAATTGTACTTGGCTTACGGTGAACCAACGAAATTTTCCTGATGACTAAAGGGATAATTGCTGGTGCTAACGGGATATAAAATTTTCTCTCTGGTGACTAATAGTATTTCCCGATACTAACGGCTTTCGAGGGCTCAAGCCTAAGAGGGGGATACTGTCAAGTCCATGCCTCGGGCCTCCATTCCGCCACTTGGTATTCCGAAGATCCACCTTTTATTGTAATCTCTCCTTATTGTTCTTTCTCGCTACACATATCCTTTCATTCTAGTCCCTCCTTATTGTCTTTTACTTTACCCTGCAGGTACTACATGTATAGCTCCTAGTAGTTAGTCTAGTGCTCCGCACCGATGCGCCAATCCGTAGATATAAATACTGCCTGTACACTACTGTAGTTCCTCAGTTTAATTATCAACTTAGATCTCCCTTCCAACTTAACTCTTCTCTAAGTCTTCAGGCTCAATGCCTTGAAGTACGTCTACTCTACCTTAGGACTTAAATGTTCTTTGGTTCGCTCCTCATCACCGGCGTTACTGCCGCTCTGACTTGGCTGCTACTTAGCTCCTCCCTTCTATACCCTTGATCTCCGGGGACTAACGGCGTAATGGCAGTGTTGTTAATAACTTCACTACTGTCCCACTCGACCTTCCGCCCTTCGACACCTTGTGGCCTCTGGCACGGTTACACGGTGTACATGATCTTAACAGATGGGCTGGGCGTTCTTTACGTGTTTGTGGACCACAGCGGAACGCTCTGGAAAGTCAGCCACACTAACAACTTCCCTTGAAGGCAAGCCAAGTGGGAAACAGTGTCCATGTCCCGACCGTGTGTGGCTACCTCCCATTCCGGTCCCACGAAGGAGGCGAGCAGGTAAGTGATAATAATACTATGTGATTGAGATGCTCATCCATTATCAGAATCTTTAGCCCATCTCCTATTGGAGATTGTTTGCAAGGATAGACCTAGAACTTATTGTGCTCAATGTATGTATACTCTGCTTGCTGAAGAGTAAGCTCATGTGCTGTTTCCAAAGGTGCAAAAATACACACAGAGAAATTTGTGTTCATTGGTAGCATTTTTATTGTTTGGAACATGATTATTAAATCTGTTCTGAAAAGGGTTGTAACAGCATGAAGGTACCACTTTTGCTATTCATGCCTTATTTTCAAGACTGACAATTTGCTAGATCCCTGTATGGAGAATTCAAACTGTTCCATTTCTTTTGTACTTATGTAGATATCATGCAGCTATATGTTCTGGTAAATGACAAGAAAAGCCTCCCCCAGGCTTTCTGTGCATGTTACGGATGGGTAGAAGCTATGTCAATCCCACCTAGCTCGTGTTGGTCAATACTAATCGAATGCTAGGTTAAACCTGGTACGCTCCGACAGGTCCTGAACGTCACGCATCTCGATATCCCGACATCAGTGATGTTTCGACATTCGGACATCTCAATGTCCTGACATTGGGTATGCATAACCTCGGCAAGGTTATTTTGAACAACCTCATGTTTTTCGTGAGGTGAATATTTCGTGAAAATTTTATATAACCTATGGCACAATATTGTACGATTATTTTAAATAAGCTAGGATTATGATCCTCATGTTTGCTGGGAGGTTATGTTATGATTATTCCAAATTTTTGGCAGCCGAAAATATCAATGAATCGCGAGGCACAAAGTCATTATTATATCCTCAATATTATTGGTAGAATACTTAAAATAACTGCATAATATGAACTTTATATTCTATAGTCAACTATCTGAGAATTATACGAACTTTTCGACATCCCAAAATCAGTCAATTTTTGGTAAAAATCTACGGATAATGGACGGATTTTGGAGGCGCCAAAACGCCCTCTTCCCCACAGTGCTCGTTTCACTTGTGCGCATTTGTTCCCATCGAAGATGAAGATACAATGAGCACTGCTCTTTGATAAACCACACAGCAGTTTGAAAAACTGAGTGAGTGTTGTATTGGAGCCATGCAGCTGGCCTACAGCCATTCCAGCGGCATGGAAACCATCCAAGAATGAGCTATATACATTGAATATATATTGGTGAGAGTTTATAAGGTGTATATTCATTTACTTGCCTGACATCTACCCCGATAACAACTGTCTGTGAGCCATGGTGTTTGTTAATGAACCCATGCTCAACGACGAATTCCCCGAGTTTGCATGAAAATGCACAATCATTTACAAGCTGTAATCCGAGCATTCAGAAATGTTGAGAGGTAAAGTATGGCTACTCACAAACCAAATATCTTTTATTCCCATAATGACTGGATGTTCATGAGTAAGAAGATGAAAGAAATTGATGAGAACAGCTCCTATTTCTCAAAGACGGGTACCCGGTACAGAGTTCTAGCCAGTGCAGGCACGAAAGGGAACTACAATTTTATTTGTGTAAAAGATACAGGATAGCTTTCAAAACCTATTGCATGCATCACAGAGGATAGCTAGTTAACACTAGGTATACAGATGCAAAAATGATCTCTTCTTTGTCTTCACCACATCCTCTATTAAACAACCCTTGGCTTGGGCATGTGCGTGAAATTCAGTGTTGTTACAGTAGTGGTGAAGGAAGATGCAGCATGGAGGGTCTGTAACAAAGGACAACTTGAACCTTAATTCACCTGGTTTATTCATAAGAGTGCCCATTCCAATGCAAAGCTCAGCTTGGCACACAATGCTCATACTCGGAAGCTACAGCGACCTGGTTAGTAAACTTTGTCTCCTCTAAGGCTTAGAGGACTCACCTGATAGCCCCTAGAAGCTCAGGCAAGCATTAGAACCTCACAGAAACAAATAGTCTGTAGGTATGCATTTGAACCAATGGAAATGAGGCCGACGTCGCTCTGAGGAGCAAGCCTGGGTTGCATGCAAACTGTTAACAAGCTTGCCTTGTTTTTGTGTGAAAGAGAAAGGAAGGAATCAAATGAGCACTCCAACCAACAAATCTAATACACAATATGCGAGTTCACTGCTATCAAATTTATTTAATAGCAAGGGGTAGCATTGTCAAAGGTTCTGCAAAGCTTTTGATAGCTAAGGAAAAGCTTCAATCAATCAATTTGAACCATTCTAAGGATTCAATATATTCCTTTGATTAAGGTATCAGCATCATTTGTGCTTTAGTGGTATTGATATGGGTATATCAAGAATCAGGGGTTTGAATCAAAGTAAATTAAAACTGAAACACACAGACCCCTACAGAGGGCTAGAATTATGTGCTGGCACAACCACACAGCGTGATTTGCCCTTAAGACCAACAACTGATCCTAAGTTCAAAGAATACCCAACAACTGGATATAACTTCTCACAGTCACAAGGAGCAGAACATGATGTTCCTATACTCACAAGTGCCGGGCCCAAATGGCTGCTAGTGAAGAGGGTTCAGTCTGGCGGGAGTGTGTCTTTCCTTTTTACAGATTAGCACTGCAACATTGTCCCAAAATCACTTGTATTCCAGATACATCTGATTGCTATTCATACATACAGGATATGGAATTGCACAGTACAATAAATTTAATAGAATAAATATTTGGAGCCGCAAGGAAACTTCTATAATAAGTTATGAATCATATAACTTGAATCTATTTGTTCTTATTTGGTCCATATTGGTTCCAAGATTCTAGTATACCTCCAAACATAGGTATGTACTTCAGTATTCATTTAATCCTAATTGTTTAGAGAATGACTCGAATGGTGCTCATCTGTCATTGATGCTCAACATGTCCTTTGATCATTTCAACCTCCCCAACCTCCCTTCTGGACCTCCACAATGCTAAACAACCTCCCCAACCATTGGCTTTCCCCCAATCAACCAAATGACACCACTACAGCATTCCAATATGTCTATACATGCATCCATCATTCTGTCCCCTCATGTACTTAGACCAACCCCATTAAGTGCCCGTTTCATACTATGTTCATTTGTTAACTTCCCGGTACATATTTAAGCAGTTCCGTAGCATCCAGAAGCCCAGCTTGGTATATTTTGAACACACACCCTTTACATAGGTCCAGTCCCTGTCCCTTTGTACCTGCTACCTATACGGAATTCTCTTTACTCTCTGTTTCTCTATCTCAGTTTCTCTACCTCTGTTTCTCGTCTCAATGATTGTCTACGCAATCCAATATACGCTTTTACCTCATGTCTAAGCAATTCGAGTGAGTCTCTGACCCCCCTCAACCAATACTAAAGCTCCCCAAATGTCTATCGTTGCGGTGAGCCAACCTCCCCCAATCCTCCTCAAGCTCCTTAATTGCTCCATGAGCTCTGGGACCTTGATCTAGGTAATGTCAGAACTTCCCCTCATGTCCAACTACATGCTGCTCCTCTGTTACCACCTCCATCCCTTGAGGACATCAACCGTTACCTCCATCTCCTGGGACCTCTTTCCCAGGCTCACACTCTATTGGGAGCTCTTACGTCTGAACCTCCCACCATCTACTAGCTATAATGATCCTACATTGACATTCCTAGCTACTACAAGCCATCCTACGCAATGCTCCTATGTCTTCTAGTTCTGGTTACCTCCACCTTCACCCATTATTGTCCTAGAGATCTCCCTGGACCTTCTAGGAACCCCTTCAAGGGTCATATCTCTCAATCCCAGCCACTACTAGGTCATTCCTGTCCTCGGTCGCGATTCCTGTAGCTCCCTTTGAGCTCCAGCCTGCTCCTACTATGCTACAATGTACACTCACTACACCAAAACCTACCCTAAGACCAATTCTGACCCAGGTCTTACATTATACCAAGTTCTCCCATCACCGAACGGACTCCTCGTGACAAAATGTCTGCAACGTCAATGGAACAACCTTCTAGTTCCAAACTCAAATTGAAAAAACAAAACAGCGCCTTATCTTGTGGAAACATGACACAAGCTCAAAAGTTGAATCAGGCTGCTAGTTCTACTGCCATCACGGTGGTAGCTGGTCAATGCCTGATGTCCATCCCAGAACAGTCGTTAAGGGATGAACCCTCTAGCAATGTAAGGACCCCCGAGGGACGTCAACCTGCAGTTCAGGAGCCTCCTCCAGTGGATCCTGGGATGGGACAACCACAACGGAGGTATACTTCCATGGGTTATGCCCAACCTGCCAGTAGTCCCATGGGAGGTTTCGCCTATTCCCCTACCTGGGGAACGAGAGGACCTCCCCCTGGACCGGTACCGCAGCTAGACATGGAATCAGCGTCAAACGTGGGTGGAAGAGTCAGCGGCCAAGCAGCCGCTATAGAAAGGATACAAGGGGAAAATGCGGACCCTCTTATGGTACAACAACAGGAACAACTTCCGGAGAGAAGGGTATCACCTGCAGCATCCAAACAGTCTCGGGCGTCGTCCAGGAGGTTACCGACTCCTCCTGTACAGTCCCTTAACCCTCCTCTGAGACGAGGAAGTTCGCTCTTCAGTCTCCTGAAGAACCCAGCTATGAATACGCCCAACTGGGAGCATACACATGCGATACATCATAGCAGGACCAACTTCCCAGTGCAACCATTGTCACGGAACAATACTTACTGATGATTTTTGTCAGAAATACATTGCCTACAACATTAAAAACTCCGAATTTCTAGTTCCCTGCCTTCAGAGTGAATTTGAGACAGACAGAGAAGGGAGCTCCTATGTACCTACCCTTTTGACTACAATCCTAAGCAAAAGTGCCCTGGAGTTTCAAGCAAAAAACACAGATGAAATCATTCCAATCACATTCAGTACCACATTTTTCGTTCAACTCACTGGTCTCAATTCTTCTATTGCCAAAAGTTGGAGAGTCAAAGTCCCTGTCACCATGATTGCTGTGGCTACAAATAATGTAGACAAAGTCATCATCCACCAATTGATTGGTAGGTGGTTTCATTGTCCCTTGTATCTCAGCCTTACTTTGTCATTATTTGCAGGTCCCTGCCCACAGATCTTCACTCAGAACCCAGGCATGGCTTTAGAAGCTTCAGGTAAGCTCACGTCATCTTTCTGTTTAAATTAATGCTTCAATCAAATCCAGGTAGCTGTAGTTTACTTGAGCTTCCATTGAAGCAAAAGCAGAGTGAATTCATTGCTGGGAGCAGCTTCAAGCATTGGCAGTAAATATTTAGGTCTCATCGAGCTTACTGATAGCGAAGATGAGCTTGTATAAAGATTGCACTGTCATTATTCATTAGTACTGTAAAATATAATGTCAACTTCATGGTCCAATTTAGTATATACATAGAAATTGAGGTCTATCAAGGTAGACATGGAGAAGGACAACCGAGAAGGGTACAATTGGGTGAATTATAGTCACCTGATATTTCCGTAAGCATCATCTTTTTTTGCCTGCCCACTCAACTTTGCAATCTTTATGGCAGGAAGAAAAAGCTGAAGAGACGAGATTGCTGGAATGAAAAGACGATGGCACAGAGATTATACAGACAGATACAGATAATGCACACTGGATACACATAACATTACTTGATACAATTGTTCTGACCCTTGGATCCATATTACTTACTCAATGGGCAACACAAGCTCACTGTCACATACAAGATTTGTTTGACTTGTCACTTCATTGAACATAGCCAACATCTAAGCATAAGCAGCAGTGCCCATAGCTGCCTGCATCTGCAAAACCTGTATGTTCGGCTAAATAGCCGAAAGCAGCTCAGAGCACTTGGGAGCACTTCCCAGCAGTGAAAGCACCCAGAGCAGGCTTTGATTTTTGCTTTGGGTGCTTTCGTTGCTGGAGAGCGCTCTCCAGCTAGTATCCTTGCTCTGGCGAGTATACATGTTTTGCAGATGTGACATCTCCCACCATTGTTACAATTTCCGCGACAGCCTTTCTATTACATACATAGCCGTCACATCTTTGGAACTGAAGATTGCAACAAGTGCGTCCCCTCAGACCTCCTCACTGCACTCATACTCTCACATCTTCATATCCTTACACTCACACTTACATCCCATCCTTTGCTGCCTTGTCCACATAGCCACAAGACTTGGATACGACCCCTCCTTCAACATGACCTTCAACACAAACATCATGCAATCTTCACTGTCAGTGTTCAACTCTTCGTACAAATCTTGCTCCTTCATCCTCTCACCTACTTTCTTGCTCTCAATTGCTTCCGCCGCTGTCGATTGCCCGCTCGTTGTCTGGAGCACGTGGATCCATCAGGTCGATGAAATGACAGGTCCCTGATGGGGACACTGCATTACATCAGGTCTTTCCTCTTGGTCTCAATTGCAAGGAGATAGGGCAATGACAGATTGCGTTGCCACACGACCATCACACTCTACACAGGCGTGCAGTTCTATTAAACCGAGGTTGACCCAGTGATATGTGATGCTGGGCCTCATTAAATTAGTGCTGAGTGCAGTTTCCGTAATCCTAACCCCGGCCTCATTTGCGATTTTTTTGTGCTGGGGATGTAATAATAATGATTGCCGGTGATTTGACTAGCCGCTATTCCTCTCCACCCGCTTTCCACATTCTGGCTTTATTTATTAAATGATTCTTATTTCATAGGATTACACTGGGACTACAAAGGTACATACTGTAATATAAATACTTATATGATATCTGCAATAAGATTATAAAGACACTGACCATCAATACTTGAGGTTTGGAGAATTAACATTGGCAGAGACAACGAATGTGACAATGGTAACGACCAATGGTGATGACAATGAAAGATGATGGCTTGAACATGAGGGAGTGAAATATGAACATCTTGCTCATCAAAACTGAAGACAGGAAAAACAACAAGAGAGGGTTGAAGTATTGAAATTTGAGTTATTGAGCATAAACATGTTTTGGACGACGTCAACGTTGATGCCAATGAGAACAGGGTATAAATTTGGTACTTTTGATGTAATATTGAGCTTTAATAAGATATTTCGGTCTTTGACACAAGTTTGTGGACTGGTGTTGCGGCCTTGAGGGCCTTTGAACTTACGAGTTGGTGGTATGAGGGAAAGAAAGGATGAAAAATTTCAACTGCGGTATCCGATCATAGATCACATGAGCAAAAAATGTCAACAAGCATCGAGCGCTCAGCGCTCCAGCATTGAGCCCAAGGATGAGCAGGCAGAAATTAAGGCGGGGGACGACCCGGGGATGACGCTGGGTTTATTTTTCATCAATTGAACCCAGGCATCAAAGAATTGAGACTCAACTCAAACAAATAATTTAAACCCAGGCTCACTACCCGCATTGAGACTAGGGTTATACAAAGGTCTGGTTGTGTATGTATCAAATATCCTTTTATCCTTTTTGGAAAATTTCTTCCCATACTTTGCGATACATTAATTTCCAACACATAACATGGTTATGGACTATACAAAATTCCATGGGTGCCACATGAAATGATATAGTCATTATATTTGTTTCATTTCTGTGCCCTATATCTCAGTGACAAATCATGCTGCCAAGAGACACCATACACATTTTGTAGGATGTAGAGTTGTGTCGGCTGTTTTTGTATGATAACCTGCATACTGTGTACCCAAAGTGACTGTGGTTGTGTAGATACTCAATGCAAGTGAGCTTCATGACACCAACATACAAATGAAAAATATTCTACCCAAGCATATCCAACTAGTCCAATCTCTCTGTGGCTTAATGATGCTAAAGAGTTGGGTCAAGTAAAACCATGACCCAGCTGCAGCCTGCTTACTATACAAACTGTATTTGAATGGTGTATGTACCGTATATATTCTACAATGGGGTGTTTGTAGTAATACGTCTCCCAACTGCATCAAGAATAAAAGCAGCCAAGATAATTTGACCAACTATTGGAGTTTGCAAGAACATACCTTTACATTCCTCGGGATTATCAATGTCTGTCTGTGCAATCTTTGGCAAAAGAACCATCCCTGCAATAAAGATCCCACAAAAAAACACTGGCCCCTGGTTATTACCATATCCACCATAACACAGCAGTCCAATGAACAGTGTCGATGCACAGAGACAGACAGGCAGTGTAAGGCTACCTAGAAGTAGAGCTGGCGAATGAATACCAATTCGTGCATCATCAATCTTGTCCTAACCAGGAATTATGAGTTCTTGATCAGCACTTCATATGGTGAGACTCATACTTGGTGCTGATAAATGGTTTCATAAGCAATTGTCCAGAGAATAGATCCTCCATATACTGGAAGAAGTTTATTCCAAGGTACACCATCACCTATGCTTACACTATTCCATCCTATCAAGGTGCCAATATTGAACATCATACCCTATATTCCGAAGTCAGGGAGATACTTGAGAAAGATGATGTTTTTGTACCAATGGAATTGGGGCAAAGCTCATCCACCGCTATTAAAATAAGATGAGAAATAACTCGCAGAGAATTTGAAACATGAGACCTTGCATGTTGGGTAGATGAAATAAAGTGGACAAACAATCAGAACTAAGTGCAGTCTTCACAACAAATCAGTTCAGTGTGAGTATCATGAGTATCTTTGAATTCTAAACTCACGACTTTTCATTGAGATGAACATAAGCAAGACAACAAACAACTGAACTGAGAAGAATAACCATGCTCTTTGTTGTGTAATCGCTCCCCGAGGTAATGGTCGATTCTTCGTCCTGGAAACCAGTTTGTCAATGTCATGATCCAATAGGTCATCAATTGTCATGATCTCAAGGTGAATCAATATTCTTCAAGTATAAGATACCTATACTGGCAGCACTCACCATTGATTTCATACCAAAGCATAAGGGAATGTAGGATGCACCACAGCAAATGGCTTTGTAGCCTGAAAGATCTGGTTGTGCATTGTATGCCATTGCAATTGACCACGCTATAGAATAATTTCGTGAGCTGAAATCATGTTTAAAACATGTGAGTGCTTACCTGTTGGTAACCAGATAGTCCAGAAGCCAATGTTGTTGTGCAGTCGACACAGCTCCCAGCATGCCTGCACCTCATCTACCGTAGGCCAAGAAAACAGACTCAGCACCTGGGACTTCCGTAGACTGATAGTGGACATTATGTGCGTACCTTTGGAGAATATTAAGCCAACATAAATACCTAGGCTGTCACCTAGTTTTCATCAAGCTCAGATCAGTGTCTAATGACAAAACAGATATTGTGCAGAGCCTTGATAATTAAGACAATTTTGGTCCTTTGACCCACTTTCCGTCCATGATACATGGCGTAATATGTATGGTGTCCTTTTGCGGCATGGTTTGGCGCTGAGATATAAGGCACAGAAATCAAACAAATATAATGACTATATCATTTCATGTGGCACCCATGTTATGTGTTGGAAATTGATGTATCGCAAAGTATGGGAAGAAACTTTCCAAAAAGGATAAAAGGATATTTGATACATAGAGTGTGATGGTCGTGTGGCAACGCAATCTGTCATTGCCCTGTCTCCTGTCAGAAGTCTTTGAAATCTGTCAATGGGCACCTCGGGGTGCTGCTGGATGAATTACTAACAAGAGATTCAGTACATTAGAAATGTCAATGAATTTGCTGACCATATAGCTTTTCCATGTGATCACCAAGTCTGAAAGAGGAGGTCCTTGTTCGCACCAAATGGAAATCAAAAGTCATGAGTTTTTATGATGATAGTGTCCCAGTGACACAAATGTGCAGTGCCTTTTGGGGGTTCCGGCACACTGGTTTGCAGCCTGATTCAGAATGATGCAAATGTGCAGTGCTTTCGGGGTTTCCGGTGCACTGCTCAGAGCCACTCCTACACATTGCTGGGTTCAATAAGGATAATCTAATAAGGAGATGAGCATTATATGGTTTACCCAAAGGTTTCCCAATACATTTTACCATTAGTAGCCTGGCAAAATAAGCAGGTATGTCCGGGGTACATCTATACAATGGGTTACTCTGCTCACATTGCCATGTTCAAAGTTTCCCCTATGGTAAAATGCATTGGGAAACCTTTAGGTAAACCATATATTAGCCTTATTGAACCCAGCAATGTGTGTTAAACTCACCCTGGAGTGGCTCTGAGCAGTGCACCAGAGACCCCAAATGCAGTGCACATTTGCATCATTCTAAATTAGGCTGCAAAGGGCTGCAAACCAGTGTGCCGGAACCCCTGAAATGCACTGCACATCTGTGTCACCAGGACACTACCATCATGAAAGCTTGCAACTTTTGATTGTCATTTGGCAGGAAATTTGGTATTGTTGAGTTTGGCGGGATATGTGGTATCAGCATAATCAAATACATGATGGAATCTGTATAGCATATATACTAAATGATGAAAATATGTTGGTGTTCTTTGGTGTGTGATTAGCAGATTTGACAATATATGTAATCATGAAGCATAATGTATTAGGTGTCACTGAGGAACATCTTAAGCTTCTGATACCATATCCAAGCTAGGTCAAATTCATCTCCCTGACAAAAGAGAAAACTTGACGTGCAAAATTTGATTATTTTGGTGTCAGCCAGAGGGTTCGGTTATGAAGCTTGCTAATATCAAAATGACTAATGCGGCACAGTTTCTACATAAATTTGTCATTCTTGATTTGGTCATATTTTATTTATTGACACTTAACAATTGCGGCAGTCAGGACGCAGAAAATGCATGGCCAAGGACAGCTCCTGACATGTAAAGCCATCATATTATTCCTTATGACTCTGATGAAAATGATAAACTGTTTTCAGTAAGTTCAAGTAAACATCCCCAGTTGACTAGTAATCAGAGATCAATATGTGAATGAGCAGTCATTGAAAACCACAGTATGAAGGGCAGTATCACCTCCAACTTCTCCGGGAGTAAAGACTATGCCGTTTCTGTAGAGGGGCAGTTGAGGATGAATGTCATGTCCTGATGGTATCCAAGGCACAGCTCTCATTGATGAACAATACTGGGTGGAAATGATGGCATTAGATGACATTCTAATGTGGTGCCAACTCTCATGCTATGCCCTTTTACAATGTATATTATTCTACAAGGCTGAATATATGAAGACTCGTCCTTATGTACATTGTTCAATGTTTAGTAGTCATCGACTCTGAAAGAGGAGGTCCTTGTTTGTACTAAATGGCAATCAAAAGTTATGAGTTTTCATGATGGTAGTGTCCCAGTGACACAAATGTGCAGTGCTTTCGGGGTTTCCGGCACACTGCTCAGAGAGGACTCCTGATTATGCCCTATGATCCCATATCAAAACTTTCTTATGCTGCCAGGTCACAATCTGGGTCTCTTCCTCAAGCACACTTTCTACATAGAAAGGGAAATGAGGTTTCATATTTAACTAAAATATTCACTTTCAGAGTCGGGGACTGCCATGCAGGGCGCGGCACTACAGCATAAGGTACTGTTTGACATTACTATCCACCGTAATCATACAGCCTATTTTCGAAGGTAGGACTGATTCATGAGTTTCCTGATCAGTGCTTTAGCTAGCTCTGGGATCTATGGAATGGCTGGGAATTACTCATTGTGAAATCTATTTATTTACAAAATGCGGGTGCTGCTAAAGTTGAATGTATTTCGGTGAATGTGAATATCACAGAATTATCACAGAACACCTGGCTTCGGTGCTTCCGGGACCGCTTGTTTCAGCGCCAGATACATCCAATCCTCACTTCATCAAATTTCTGGTGTTCCCATCTAATTTCAGGAGCAAGGCACATATACAATGCACTGCCTAGCTACTTCACCCAGAGGTTTGGCTATATACAAAGTAAATCTGGTACAAATTCTTGATCAAACAACTGATCTCCAATCATCTAGAGTGCCCTGTGTCAGCCACATGATGCCCACTAAAAGCAAGATACATGGAATGTTCTGAACTATAAAATGTTGTATTTCAGTAAATGAACCTACCTTTCCGCAAAACACACAACATGAATTCCGATACCCTCTCAAGTGCAATTATGATTCTGGGACAGGATCTGTGCGTACTCCAACATATTTTCCCATTTATAGATAAAACTTACTTGGAAAGCTCAGCTTTGCGATGAAGGTATGAGTCATTTGTTCTTAATTCTATTTCTTAATCATGAGTAGCTATACTGGGTGGCAATATCTGCTCTGTGGCTCTATGAATATTGCCTAACATTTCATGATGAGGTGAAATTTTAAAGTTATGATTTATTATTATTGTCTCGATTCTAAACTTTTGCAGATTGAATATGCATGGAAAGGAGATAAAACTTTTGGTATGCCCTCACACCAGTATGAACATCCACACATTGAAACTTTTGATTAGTCTTCTATCTATTCATGCTAGTATGTGGCATTTATTCTTATTATAAACCCAGGTATACTGAGCAAATTGTACTAGAACCGTTATCTGTGTCCAATGTTCATTGGCATCACAATGTTTTGTATGTAGACTGACTATGCTTGAGCAGACTGAAGAAAAGACTCATCTCTCAACCCCTTGAAGCATATTTCTTGCCTGGATTTGGTCTCAAAGTAAGCTTTCCTCTCGTCAACTCATTCACAGACCTGACAATTTCATAGACGTGTGTCAAAATCCTCAAGAAGATCTAATATTAATCTCAATACTGTTATTAGTTGTCAGCACTATGGGTTCATGGAAACTCTTGAAACAATGCTCCTCACTTGCCTCTGTGAGATATTCCTGACCTTAAGGTATTGCTACTCACTTTATGTTAAAATAATACCTGCCCAATTATATCCTAGAGTTTATGCTTTGTCCAAATGTCATAGAAGTGTTCTGGTTCTGTCAGGGCTGATAATAGTATGGCAATGGGGCATAGCTGTATATGCAATGTCACAATCTTCGCAAGGAACAGATCAGATTTCATTGTTACTTACTGGTCCTAGTGCTTCCCATTTTGTGGCACTTCCTGCTACTGACCCTTATCACAGTGGGTTTTCCTTATCTGAATATTATTCCATGATCTCATGTCTATTTTGCCTTTCTAGTTTGCATCTTTATATCCACCCTCACAGTGTATGTCAATGAAGCTACTACTCAAACCTATTGAGTCGGGACTAAGTTATTTGTAGCACTTCTTGGGTTGAAGCATTCTTGTGTTTGAGCCTTGCATTTGACGCTCTTGTGTTTATTGCAATCTTATGGATGACATTCCGAATGATGGCTAAACAAAACTATCAATTTGTCCACATCCTGGAGGTTATTCAAAGGGATGGCATTTTCTACTTCTTTGTACTCTTTTCATCCAACCTGCTGTGGTTGCTCTTATTACTGCATGCTCGAGTATGTATTATGTTTATTGTCCTTGACATTATCTGAATGATTTCCTAGGCCTCTCTCAAATTTATCCATAATCAGTGGGTTTAGAGAAATCCGGTATCATGTCAATAACTCACATAGTCCTTCATTATCTAGACCAGCAATGATGTGAGTTTTGACCTTAATTATGAGATACCTTAGCTTGACGCCATTGTCCAGAGTGTCATCCATTATGATAAATCGGATCACTCTCAATCTCAAGAAAGCAAGTGAGAGAGGAAGGCAACCCACCTATACATGGAGTATGAGGACATTTGAACAACAATATGACTTCAACCTTAGGCACAGTCACTACCTCGATGATAGTTATTAAGTAGCTGTGACTATCATCCAGGGAAGGTAGGGCTAGTAGCTGGAACATCTTACCTGTTGACTGAAATCATCTTGATGTTATCCTATTACAAACTTACATGTAATTTTTTTGCATGCATGGAGTGCACTTGTCAAGCCCATGCCTCGGGCCTCCATTCCGCCGCTCGGCATTCCGAAGATCCACCTTTATTGTAATCTCTTCCTTATTGTTCTTTCTCGCTACACATACCCTTTCACTCTAGTCCCTCTTTATTGTCTTTTACTTTTTACCCTGCAGGACTACACGTATAACTCCTAGTAGTTAGTCTGGCGCTCCGCCCCGCTGCGCCGCTCCATAGATATAAATACTGCTTGTACGCTACTGTAGTTCCTCAGTTTAATTATCGACTTAGATTCCCTCTTCCAATCTGTGCTCTCTAAGTCTTCAGGCTCAACGCCTTGAAGTACTCTCTGCGCTACCTTAGGACTAGACGTCCTCTGGCTCGCTCCTCGTCACCGGCGATACCGCCGCTCCGACTTGGCTGCTTCTCAGTTCCTCCCTTCTCTACTCTCGATCTCCGGGGACTAACGGCGTAATGGCAGTGTTGTTAATAACTTCACTACTGTCCCACTCGACCTTCCGCCCTTCGACACCCTGTGGCTCTGGCACGGTTACACGGTGTACATGATCTTAACAGTATAATTAAACTCAATCCGTAACGTCGTACTGACTTATCATTTTTTATGCCTCCGAAAACTCGAGCTCAATCTAGAGCAAACTCCGAAGAAAACACTTTCTTCACCACAGCCCAATCTTTCGCCCCTTTCTCCGAATCCATCTCAGCCATCGGTCAACCACGTCGCCGTAATCGCGGTTTCGGTCCAGCCACAGTTCCAACTACGTCAACTCTTCCTGAAGCCATGGAGGAAGAACAGCAATTTGAGTACAGTACTTTATTCACTAGTGACGGACAACCTGTCCAAGTCCTGACCCCTCGCCGTGGACAACCCCCCGTGGTCGCTCCGGCTCGGGGCCGCTCTACTACTCGAATTGACTCTCCAATCCTCCAAGCCATCGCTCGCCGTACGGGAAAACAACCCCAACGTCATGCTGCTTCTGAATCTCCTCGTGACCCACCTCCTCACTTCAATTTGGATACCGGTGATCACGATGATCAAGACCCTCCTGTCGACCCCGATGACCCGGGCGCCGACAACAATCATGACGACCTGGATGACGATTCCGGCGGTTTACCGCGTGGTGAGTGTCACGAAGCGGCAGAGGCGGAGTGACTAGCGGAGCAGGAAGCGGGGTGACTAAGCCAGGCAGTGAGGCGGAGCGACTAAGCAGGTCAGTGAGGCGGAGCGACTAAGCGGAGCAGAGGCGAACTGGTCCCAGATAATGACAGAGATATATTGAGTATCGTAGTCATAGGTAATAATAAGTAAGCACATACCTGGTCCCAGATAATGACAGAGAGGTCAAGATAAGGGACCAGGCTGTGGAGGGTTGGCTATATATACATAATCTAGTCTGCGAGAAACAACGATGTAATACTGTACAGTTCAGGGGCAAGGAAGGAGGCGGAAGCCGATAGAAAGAGAAGATGGGTCAGGTGGATCAGTAATAGATAGATCAGTAATCGATGGAGATTGACAGCGATGGGATGATGTATTGTACAAGTAAAGGCGTCGAGACGGTGAGAAAGGGAAAATGATAGGGGCTGCGTACTTTATGACATTACCCCCCTCCTTATGACCATTGCCCTCGATGGTCAAGGTTTTGCCGCTGTCGGATGTTTTTTGTGAAAGGCCCGAACAATTTTTGGTGCCCGGCTGAGGTTGGGTGCGGGTTCCCAAGAGTTGTGTCCTGCATCGTAACCTTTCCATTTTACTAGATATTCCAACTTCTTCCATCGTACCCGACTGTCCAAGATCTCCTCCACTTCATATTCCGGTTCATCTTCATCTTCTAAGTACACCGGCTCTGGTGGTGTTGGTATTTCGCCATTGATGGGGTTACCTTTCCATGGATATAGTTTGTCGACATGAAAGACAGGATGAAGGCGGTCTAATGACAAGGGAAGGTCAAGGCGGTAATCCAGAGGTCCGACTTTCTCCAGAATACGGTAAGGTCCTAGCTGTCGGTCTCCTAGTTTTTCACTGGATAGCTGCAGGTTAATGTCCTCCGCACTTAGCCAAACTAGGTCCCCAACTTTGAATTGATGCGCTTTTCGCTTCCCACGTTCGTATCCCTCCTTTTGTTGCTTCTTTCCTAGATGTAAGGCAGCTCCAGCATCCTGTCGCGCTTCTCGGAGAATCCGTATGCGGTCATCCACCGCTGGAATGCCGCTGCGTTGACCAACCGGGATATTGAACAGGGGAAGGTATCCGTAGGTTAACTCGAATGGGGACATGCCTAGGGCCGAGTGAGTCCGCGAGTTAATCACAAACTCCGCCATGGGGAGGTGTTCTGCCCAGTCATCTTGTCGTCGTCCCACATAGAGGCAGATGTATTTTTCCACTTCCTGATTTGCGCGTTCAGTTTGGCCATTGGACTGAGGGCGATATCCGGAGGTTAGATCTGATTTAATGCCCAGTCTAGCGAGGAGGGATCGCATGAGTTTAGCTGCGAACTGAGGTCCGCGGTCGGATTTGAAGTGGAGGGGAAGACCATGGAGACGGAAGATTTCTCGGTAATAGATATCGGCGACACCTTCGGCTGTAATGGAGCTGGTGCAAGGAATAGCATGGATTTGTTTTCCATACAGGTCTGTACAGACCAAGACTGCGTCGTATCCCTGGGAGTTAGGCAATTGTGTTATCAGGTCGACCCCTACCTCTTCCCATAGGCCGGATGGTACATCTAGTGGTTGAGTCACAGCTCGTGGGTGCCGTTGGATCTTCTTGCGGGCGCAAATCTCGCATCCCTCAACGTATTTCTCCACAAAAGAACGCAGTGTCGGCCACCAGAAGTGGGTGCTGACCAGGTCAAGTGTCCCATGTAATCCGGGATGTCCAGCAGTTGGATGATCATGGCATTGACGGAGTACCTCGGTGCGTAGATTGTTGTCTGCTGGTACATATACCCGGCCCCGGTAATAGACCAACCCGTTGTCCTCCTCCCATTCAGCTATCCCATTGGCCAAGCGTTGTAACCCGTGCTTCTTGACTGTTTCCAGACCTTCCAGTACTTGTGCTTCCCATTCTGAGGCTTTCCGAATACGATCCTCTAGGGGGTTCCGTAGGATTGAAGCGGCGATTTTGGTGAAGTGGCCAGGTTTAAGGACGGTCTGTTGCTGATTGTCATCGCTATCTGATACATGATGTACTGCCATACGAGAAAGAGCATCAGCTTGGGTGTTTACTCGGCCAGGACGGTGGATCATATGAAAATCAAACCGTGATAGATAGAGGGCCCATCGGGCTTGTCGACGGGTAAGGTCTTGTGCTGTGCGCCAGAATTCGAGGTTGGAGTGATCGGTGATAATGTCGAATGGTTGTGGAAGTCCTTCCAGGAAATTCCTCCAGTCCTTCAATGCTTCAATGATGGCAAGCATCTCCCGATCATATATTTCATAGTTCCGTTCTGCTGGCTGCATGGATGCCGATCTGAAGGCTACCGGGTGCCACTGACCATCGTCTTGCTGCTGCATGAGGGCGCCTCCCGTAGCAAAGCCTGATGCGTCTACCTCAATTCGAGTGGGCCGATCTGGCGCCCATAGAGCAAGGATTGGTGCGGAGATGAAGGCCTCTCGAAGGGTGTCAAATGCCTCCTGTTGTGTACCAGTCCAGTTAAAGCTGGTATCCTTCTTGGTTAGGTCGTTCAAAGGTCGAGCTATTCTTGCAAAATTTCGGATAAAGCGCCGGTAGAAGTTTGCAAACCCCAAAAATCCTCGCAGTTCCCGGAGGTTGGTAGGGACTGGCCAGTCACGAACAGCCGCTACTTTGACCGGATCCATTCTCACCTCCCCTTCTGAAATGATAAGTCCCAGGTATTCGATCTGTTGCTGTTCAAATTCACACTTCTCTGGGCGCAAATAGAGGTCGTGCTTTTCTAGTCGCGTTAATACTTCCCGTACCACTTGTCGGTGTTCCTTGAGGTCGTTACTGAATATGAGGATGTCGTCTAGGTAGACTGCCACTTTGCCAGCTGCAATGAGATCAGCAAATATCGCATTCATAAGTGCTTGGAATGTGGCAGGGGAATTTGTGAGACCGAAGAACATAACCTTAGGCTCGAACAAGCCCCGAGTTGTTGCAAATGCGCCTTTCCATTCATGCCCCTTCTTAATCCGCACATTATTGTAGCCCCAGCGAACGTCAAACTTGGTGAAATATCGCGCTCCCTGAAGCCGGCTAATGATATCAGCAACTAATGGGAGAGGATATCGGTTCTTCACAGTATACTCATTCAGTTTCCGGTAGTCCTGTACGAAACGGAGTTTCCCATCCTTCTTCTTCACGAAGAAGACTGGAGATGAGATGGGTGACTTCGAGGGAACGATGTAGCCTTTCCGTAGGTTTTCTTCTAGAAAGCGGTCGAGTTCCTCCTGCTCATTCAAGGACATTGGGTAGATCTTTGTCCGCATGGTTGCTGGTGCTCCGGGTACAAGATCGATAGCGTGATCCCAGGGCTGATGGGCAGGTAATCGCTCAGAGGCAGATTCGGAGAAAACCTTCTTGAAGTCTCGGTACTGCTCAGGGACCATCTCCTCAAAGGTTTTAATGGGTTTATCGCGGTTAGCCTCCTCTGCTAGTTGTTGAGAATAAGTGAACCCTGCTGAGCACCATACTTCCTCTGTTTGTTCTTCCAATATCCCCGCTTTCACCCATGCCCGACGCGTTTTGTGATTGGCTCGTATTCGGTGTATTGGGGATTCCTCCGTTGCTGTTATGATTTCATTCTCCTCTAGGTCTGCCTCAGTGTGATTGGGTTCACGTTGGGATCCTTCGTTCAGGAGTTCCTGGATTGGACTATCGGTAGTAGACGCCACTAGGTGAGGGTGTGAAGTCTGCTCA